TCTATCCATTCTTCTCTTTACGTGGCCAACATGGTGCTAATAGAACCCCCTGTGCACATCTTTTCTGCCTCACCATTTCCCTACTGCTCTCCCTGCTCCATATTTGGTAAAGCATACTTTCCTGCCTTCCCTCTTTTCTTTCATTATTGTAAGGCAGTGGTTTCCCAGATTTTGGTCCTCCAGATGTTTTGGACTTCAGTTCTCAGAACTGCTGACTAGGCTGGCTGGGGCTTTTAGGACTTGAAGTCCAAAACACTTGGAAAGACCAAGATTTGCTAATCCCTGTCATAAGGAATAAAGTTGTAAGCCTAGTCGTAGGAGACTGGCAAACCAAAAATCAAGCTTTCTTTTCTTAACATTTATGGTAAAATAAAACTTGTATCATTTATTCTATCTTTATCAGAAAGCTGTGTGTTCACTTTTGTCAAAATATGCTTTCGCAAAAGATCCCTCTTTTCCAGTTTAATTAGGTGTACATGTGTATAGTTTTGCATATAGGTATGACTCGGGATATTTGGTAATGCCTTCTTTAAAAAAAATTCCAAGCCAGTGGCCATAAACATATCTTGGGGTGGTGAACTCCAAAAGTCAATCAAGTACAGAATGAAGTAGTGGATCCTGTTGATTAATTAACACTAAGCAATGGGTGAGACCAAATTTGGGATGAACTAGAAAAAAAATAGGAATAAAGTACACAACTTGCACTGCTGACATTCATTTTTTATTTAAATAAAATGTTAAAAAGAAAAAAGCTACAAAATTTACAAAATCTGTATATGTATATATACAATTTACATAAATGTAAACATACTAATGAGGCAAATATATTTACGGCATCAAAAATAGCATATTATAATCTGAGTTCTGCTTAGTCCTACTTTTACTATTTAATGCTTGGAATAAGCCTTCAGTTGGTACAACCTAATACCATTGCTTTTTAAGTCAAGTGGCATGAGACCTGAGCAAAGCATGACCTTTTAGGAAAATATCAAATACGAAAGCTCCATTGCACAAGGCATATGCCATACAACTTCATACATGCTTCAATCTTTCTTTAGCTTTTGGACCAAATACATGTCTTCAGGTTGTTGTGTATAGACCATTAAAATGTAAACTAAATTCCATAATTTGCAGCACAATCCACATAGGCTCACTCCAAAGTACTGTTAAATTGAGTGTGCAGAAGATTATAGCCTTAATTATATTACTATATTTATTTTCTGCTAGTAGTCATGAGGAGGAACATTCACTGTATCAGATGCAAAAGGCTTGTCCTTTCACCACTGAAAACCTATGTTGCATCACTGCAGAGATTTAATCCAATAATGCTTGCATAAGGCTTGGAAACTTGATTACAAATAAAGCAAGATTCTACCACATGCTGAATTCTACATTCAGTACCTAATTCTAAATTTGTGCACAGCCCTGTCTATATGCTGAGGAAGGTTCAGAAATAAGAGTGCAACATTAAAAAAAAGATATTTGGTTTCTTCTTTCAAATATGTTAGAAAGTTAGAAAGCCAAGCATATGAACCATATTTGGTATGCATATAATTTCATCCATTTTACGGTGTGGAACATTTTTGAGCCAACCATACTAAAGTTCAAAATGGTATAGCACTTGAATGTTTTACATCTGTTTAAGCTACACCAGTTTCTAAGAGGAGCTAAGAGGAATATAGTTGTCTAAGCTCTACCTCACTTGGCTTTTAAAGATCATCCAGTTTTGGCCAAGGTTTTGGATTAGAACTTCAAGAATCCCCAAGCTAGAGATTCTGAGAGCTGTAATCCAAAAAAGTAACTTTTTCAAGCTCTAGGCCTCTGGTTCTCTCCTACCCACATCCATACTAGCATTGCATATATGGGGATTGCTCCTTCAGCCTACCAATTCTCATGACAAGGGCCACATAAGGCCCACCTATTCCTTATCAAAAAGAAAGAACAAGAAAGGCAGGACTGTGCAAGAGAAGAGCATATTTAAGAGACTTTCCCTCAAGTGCCACAGCAGTATTGTGGCTTCATCTGTGTGATAGCTAACTATATCTAGATACCAAAGTATGCACTTGGTCTTTTCCACAGGTATTTCAAGGCTGGAGCTGATGTATCAAAATAACAGAGCCATAAAAGAAAACATGGATCTTTGCTTAAATTCATATACAGCTAAGGCACCTCTATTTAATTAAAAGTAGAAATAATTTTTCTCTGTTTTCCCTTGTCTGCTAGACCAAAGGCTAATTAAAGCAAAGTTATTAGGCCACATTTTCTACAGGCAGCCTGTTAAACAGGACTAATCAATTCAAATCTTTGAAGACATATGTTGTACATATGTAATGAGATGGGAGAAGATCCTTAACAGTATACAGCTGAGGTTTCATGAAACTGCTAGAATGCCTATCTTTTTTTCCCCATATTTCTTTACAAGCTCTATGATCAGTCCATCTCATTTAGGTACACATCTTGGAAAACATTATTTTACACACAAATAACTCTAAAAGATGTTTGGCCATTAACCACATGTAAAATTGTACACAAGTGTAACAATATAAATCAGATTAATCTAGAAAAATAGTTTGTATTTTATAATGTGCAAGAGTTCCTAGTCTCTCTTAAGAACACAAAATGTACATACCTGCCTGTCAAAATTAAAAACAAAACAAAACACTAGATTACACTTAACACAGAGAGGCCTTTAAAACATAGAGAAAGAGAGCAATGGTATGGAAAACCTGTTCTATAAAACATCAAAAGTTAGAGTTATTATTAAATACCTGGACTGAAGGGAAACTTTTGGAAAACCAGATAGGAGACAAAATCTGCTTCTTGACCTCTGAAGCAGCACAAATGCCAGTCAGCCAATAGATTCATAGTTTTAGGGGGGATGCCTGGGACGGTGCGCCGCTGGAGCGAAGCACTCGCATGGCGGCGCACCGGCGGCGTCCCTGAAAGGAGCGCCAAATTGGTGCTCCTTTCAGAAGTCAGGGAAAGTGTGTCCTAAACACGTAGGGCGCACTTTCCCTGAATTTTCCGCTGCAGCGTGTGAGGACGCTGCGGCGGGAGGTTGCCCTGGGAGCGCCGGCCGTGCGGAGGGCCGGCAAGTCCGAGGGCAACCTCGGGAGGAGGAAGGGGCGCAGCTCGTGCGGCTGCCCCTCCTCTTCCCTGCCTCCAAGGCGACTTTATTAGTCATCTGCCGAGGCTGTAAGGTACCAAATGAATACTGATTTTTCATATACAGTGGTACCTCTACTTACGAATGCTTCATCTTACGAAA